TCTCTCTCTCTCTCTCTCTCTCTCTCTCTCTCTCTCTCTCTCTCTCTCTCTCTCTCTCTCTCTCTCTCTCTCTCTCTCTCCCGCCGTCTTCCTCCATTTCTTCAAAACTCTTTAACCCTTAACCCTTCCGTCACCCGTTCCCCTCCATGGCATGTGACTAACCTCTACCCTCACTTGTTACATTGTCAGGGAACGAACGGAGAGGAACTTGGTCCTCACTTGGTGGAAAGCGAGGGCAAGTGAAGGGCCGCCGGTCCCTTGTGCCACCTAGAAGGAAAATATACGAGACTATTGAGAACGTTTGTGACAGCAGAAAGGAGTGCGGTTTTTGTAACAAGGTCAGTTTGACTCAACCACCTTCCCCGACTGCATGTCTAAGGTGATGGCATGGTTTGCTTGAGTACAGGGAAAAATAACCAAAGGATCATTAAGGGCAAAGAAAACCTGGGCGTGTAGGAGGGGCGATGCGTTGACCCCAATGGGGATTGTACTTGGCTTTTGCTTTGTGTGGTCTTGCGCAGGTGAGTAGCTTGGGATGGGTGTTGAGCAGGACTGGATCCCCCGGGAACCGGATAGGGGAAGGATGTGGACCTCGCGTAAAGCCATGAATGTCGGATGGGGTTGGCGGCCGGATGCTTGGATGGATGGTGGAATGCCTGGATGTGGCTTGCGTGATGATTGAATGCAATGACTCTCTTGAATGCAAAGCAAGCCCGGAAGGACTAAGGGCAGCCTTGGATAGGTGAATGTAGTGCTAGTGGCTCAAGCAAAAAAAATATAGCGGTTAGGGATCTGGGCGATGCCACCCCACCCCAAGGATGCCGTAGGGGCTGTCCTGGGCCGCTAGGCTTAGTGAAAAAGGTGCGTGGCCAAATGGATGACGCTTGGCCTGCGCACAATAAGAAAATGAGACCTCAAGGAACTCCTTGGACTGCCTGCGTATTTGAAGGAGCAATTGCCTGGTCAGACCTTAATGGATCAAGAAAACGCCACGAGTGCCGAAAAGTTACCATCTTGACGCGAGAGCGGAGCTACATCCCCCAATGTAAAGCCCTCTCGCAACCGGCCCACCCCCATCCATCTCAAAGCACTAGGTGAGGGTGCCCCTGGGACGAACGACCTGCGCCCTGAGCGTGAGTGTGGGCGGGTCGAGCCAAGTGGGACCCGCAGTGGGGTCGACCAAGGCTCGAAAGTCCTTCAGGGTTAGGCCCCTACAAAAATGGTGGAGGTGTCGGGTATGGGTTTAACTGACCCTGACGATCTCGAGGGGGGCGCCCGACGCATGACCGTGTACATAACCAAAGACAAGAAATGAGGACTTGTGTATGCTCTATCCTTTGAGAGAATCAGATTTGAGGGTGGTTGGGCGCATGGCAAGGCCAGCCCTGGAGGAAGAATATGCATGCTTGCACTTTTTTGATCAGCCATCTCCTTTGGGGATGACTCTAGTCCTCCTTCCCTAGGACTGATGCTCGTCAGGCCGGGGAAGCCTTGGGCAAGCCGCAGGTCGACCCTTCTTCTTCGTATGAAAGAAGGGCTCCGGTTACCTGGCAGGCGGTTGGGATTCCGGGCCAGTCCGGGTTCCAATGAAAATCCCACGGCGGAGTGATCCGACCGACCTGGGTGCTTCTCTACTTCGCTTCGGAGCCCAGCGGGCTCCGTGCACCGCACTTAAATGCTTGAAGGAACCCCATATGAACACAAACGGTAATCGAGAAGGAACAATCCTGCCCTATGAACGGACACACAAGTGAAGATGGAGGGAATGAAGGGAGTTGCTAGACTCCGGGGAAAAACTAGCTCCCCCTTGAAGATGCTCACAAAAAGGAACCGGGCACTATGTATGGAAAGTAGGGGTGAGTGGCACATGCTGTCCTGAGAGAAAATTTGTGAGCTATGGGTAGGAAGCGCTGGGTGCACCGGGGGAAAGGCACCTGTGTTATGTGTGTCCCACTTGGGACTTGTGATTGCATGATTGGGATTTCGAGCATCCTGCCATTCGGAAGGTAAGGATTGGTTTGCGCCGGCCTGTGCAGGATGCGAATTGGTCGTCCTCTTTGAAGTTCACCAGGCTCCGTGTGTGTGGGTCGGGCCACCGGACTGTCAGGCAAGGGTTCGTCTCGTCGCCTGATTAGTAGCATTCTCACCCGAGCGGTCCGAGCATGGCTCGATGACCTTGCCCGAGCGGGATGTGAAACCTCTTCAGGCGGGGTGGCTGCTTGTCGGTAGATGGCAGGGGGACCACTGCATATGGGGCAAGGAAGGAGCCTCGGAGACGATTAAAAGCTTCTCGTAGCATGGCTTGGGAAAAATTGTTCCTTATCGGACCGATGGACGTGAATGCCTGGACGGCTGACTCCAATGGCCCTACCGAGATGTGCGGGGTGATTCCCGAGATTAACGGTGGGTACACGAGTGGCAAGTCGGGATGGGGTATTCTGGGTAAGGAGGAAATGGCGAATGCCTTGCCGAGACTTGGGTACCGCGCTCGCGACGGTTGAGCTGCGCTTGAGGTATGGGATAAAAACCCTGCCGATAGTAACAGCTGAGAGACCATTTCCTGGGAAAAGGTCGGTGAGGAGATGACCGACCTGTGTGCGACGTTTGCCTGAGTTTTGCTTTTGTACCTCCCTCTGTAAAGTTGCCTGATGAATGTTGGAAGGGGACTGAGTTGCTAAGTCTATTCTCGCCTCCAAGTCTAAGTCCGCACGAATGAGAGAATATGAGGAAGAGGTTGGATAGGAGTCGGAAGAGAATGGAACTAAGAAAAGAAGGAATTTGAGCCACGGGTGATCGATTGGGGGTATAGTAGGGCAATGGTACCTGGGAAATGAATAAGGGAGGTTAGGGAGACCCGGATGAGGGGTCTGAAAACAACCCTCATCTAGAAAAAGGAAAAGCAGACCATCTGACCATGAAGGGCCGTGTGGTGCTCTCATGTGAAAAACAGGACAGGCGCCGGGAAACAAGATGGCGCGATGGTTGTCGCCTCCTGTCTACTCTAGTGGTCCGGAAATGCCTATAGAAGTAAGGGATGGGGTATCTGTTGTTCTCCCGGAAGAAGGGACATGGACCGACCTAGAACCAGCCTATGAAACCGTGATGCTGGACAAGAAGGACGCGTTCCTCTGGATAGAGACAATCTGGACTAAGGCCAACCTGACAAGACTCTCACCTAGCTTGATGGACCTAGAATTTCGGGGAACAGTGGAAGCTCGAGGATGGATCTACCTATCTCAAGAAATGGAAAACGCAATGGTAGTGGGACTAGTATTGGGCACGGCGCCGAATCAGCTGTTTAGGCAAGCGGAAAGGGAAGTGATATGGGCAACATGTCAACGGGCAGAAATGGAGATGGAAAGGTTGGAGGTGCGAGTGGAACTCGGGGACCGGAAAAGAATGAGACGCCCCCTTAGCACAATGAGATGCGTGCTACCCCCATTCCTGGTGGACGCGGTCTTTGGAACCAGGGGTAGATTGGAGCGGATATGTCGGTCGACGATGCGCCTGAGGTTGTACCAAGGTGCTAGGCAGGACTTCTTTAAACTATCGATGGAGGCGGGGCCGTTCGAATGAAACTGGGCGGAAGAATTAGCTGAGGTGTTAAACCTCCTCTGCGTTGATGAAACCTTTGTTCCTACCCCGGTGCATTGGCAGATAGTTTACCGAAACGTGGCAGCGGGGGAAAGCTTCTTGGAGGGGGTGAAGGAGATGTTCCTAGGCGAGGAGGAGGGTTTCAGTGATGAGGAGGACGGAGACGAGATAGAGGACTGGGACTTCTGAAGGGGGGGGCTTACCTGGGGAAAACGGATTGTCGGCTATGTGCAGGTAGGGAACGATGGCCCGAGAACTCGAATTCTGGAACTGCACGTGGGAACCAATACGAACCAGAAAAGGAGTAGAGATGTCACTACCGCCGAGCAATGAATGGAAAGGGACCACATGTGATCGGCGGGGGTATGAGATTGTGCCGGAACGATTGTACCTTTGGGTAGAGTGTATCTGGAATCCGTTGAGGGACGAGGAAGGATGGGAAGAGATTGCGGAAGGAAGGGTGGAGTCGGTTGGGACGATCGTCCTCTCGGAACAGGGTTGGCACCTGTTCTGCACGACACTTGCGGCAGGGCAGAACCCGATGTGGCTTTTAGGGGATGCTGAGGCAAGGGCTTGGCAGGCGGGGGAAAGCTTTGCTAACAAGGGATGGGACACGGTCAGCAGTAGAGTCGTGATGGGAGGATGGAAGGAATTTAAACCGCCCGGTGCCCGAATCAAGACCTGGGTACCCGAGTTCATGGCGGACTGGTTTGGGGGTTTTGATCATGTAACAGAGGTAGCCGACACGATGGAGCGAATACACGTGAATTGCACATGGTTGGCAGGGGAATTTTATAGGACGTCCTTAAAATACGGGCCCTTCCACGGCGATAGAGCCCGGGAGGTCCTCATTATTTTGGACATCGAAAGGAATGACCGGCAGGAGGTGGCCCCGGGAACCAAGGAGGCCATAATCCGCCGTGAGGTAGCAGCAACACCTTGCTATGTGGATGATGTGTTCAAACTGTTCGAAGTACTGTGGTTCGACTAAGCGCAGGGAAGCTGTGGAGTCAGACAAATGTGGCAAAATTGCTAAGATTAGGGAATGGGATGTCTGGTCATTGTAGGGATCAGCGCGGATCGCGGGCTGGGAGATCAAAGGCGAGCGCGCAATGGCACGAAGAAGGACGTTCCTTGAGGAGCGCCCCTTGGGCATTGAACCGCCTAGGGAAGTACCGGGCGGGATAAAGGTTAGCCTGCCGGCTGCAAGTGAAGGCTGGCACCGGGTGGCGGATTGGGTTGGGGTCGAGCTTGCGGAAAATATGGTTTACTTAGTGACGAAAGTTGAGTGGCGTGCGGATGAGAATGGGGAATGGAACCCGGACCCACGGGGGCACGTGCGTGCAGAAGGGCGGTTGTATGTATCAGAAAATGGGTGGAGGGAGTTTGGAGTTCGGCTGGCATCTGGAGAAGACCCGTTGAGCATGTTTGAGGGGGCATGGCAGTTAGTATGGCGAGCAGGGTTTGAGTTCGCAGATCCGGGGATTGACGATGTAACAGCAGACATTAGGGTAGCCATGGTCGGGAGTTTCGAATTGCCTAGTGAAAATGTACGAATGAGGTTGTCGCCCTTCCTGCTGGAAAAGCTGGGCGGTTTGGAACTTATTAGACAAGCAGTAACCGACCTCACAAGCCTGACGTATGAAGAGGCGATGGTACATCGAGAATACTACCGGGCCTTCCTAGAAATGGGCCCGTTCAGTGGGGAACAGAAGTATGAGGTGTTGCGCATCCTGCGCGCTGTGTTTAGCACCAGGCCGAGGGTTCCGGTCGTGGGAAGTGAGGTCCTGTGGGGCGTCGTCCGACGGGAGATAAACCAAGGAATGGCGTACGTAGATGATCTGTACCGATTGTATGAGCAGATGGAGGAGGGAACAGGTCGGTAATAGGGCCGAAGAGAGGGGAAGAAATTGAAGGGGAAAAGAAGCACCAGGCTAGGATCGGGGAGTTGTTCGGGGGGAAAAATTGAAGACCAAGTGGAATAAGTAAACTCGCATGCTGTTTAAAACTGTGCAGGGGAATTCTAAGTCGGAAATGGCGATGAGACGCGCCCGGATGCCGCGACGACCCGTGCACCCGCGGCCACCCACGGAAAACGGAGATGGATGGGAGGTGTCGCTCCCAGCAAGCGACATGATTCAAGGATTGGACACCGAATGGAGAGTCGTGACCCTGGGAAGAGGTCAGGCGTTCATGATGGTGGAATGTTTGTGGGATAGCATGAGAATCAATAGGGGACCAGGGGACGATCTGTATACTGATCTCAGGGTGACAGGAACCGTATACCTGCCAGAGCTCGGGTGGCACATGTTAGGGACAGAACTGGCACTAGGGCATGGGTTGTTGCCAATCTTCCAAAGGGCTACTAGGATACTAAACCAAGTAGGCCAGGAGGTGCGGGGGAGAAGGAATGTGGGGTTGAGGACCCGGGTGGAGGTAGGAGGTTGGCGAGAGTTTAAGGCTCCAATGACAGGACTAAGGTGCCGAGTACCTCGCTTCATGATAGACCTGGTATTTGGCAACCTCAAGAGGGCAAGGGATTTGGTGGACTCGACCTTGGTCTGGATCCACCTCTTCTGGCCACAAACAACGAGCATGTTCTACGACGTGTCAGTCAGACATGGGCCGTTCTAGGGGAATCAGGCCTGGGAACTACTCGAATTACTCGAGATCTTGATATTCGGATTGCCCCACCTGTCGTTTGAGGAATATTAACCAATTATTATCAGGGAAATAGAAATGGGGGAAAATTACCTTGCTGGGTTGGCTGACCTGTTCGAGGAACCAGATGAGCAGGGCAGGCCTGAGGGACCAGCATGAGAAAACGTGTCAGGAAGAAGTACGAAAATAAAGAGTGGGTACTAAGATAAGTAGGCAACCATCAGCAAAAGAGAGGCAATGGTTGGAGTTCCGGCCGACCCGATGATGCGGCAGGGAGTAAATAGGAAAACCACCCGCGCCAAAGATCCTGGGGCACCTGGATGCCAATAAGCCGAAAAGGCCATCCCCGATAGGGAAGCCACTGGGCTCAGGTACCGCCCTAAGAATCAAAGCGCGACAGTAATGAAATGCCAAAGCAGTGGCGGCAAGGCTCCGGTAGAAGAAAACCTGAAGGACGCCCGGGAGAGAAAAAATAGAAGAGTTGTACTGACTAATGTAAGACGCAAAAATATGGGAATAGGCGGGTTTTTAGGGTCAGGACTAGGGCAGTTATGAACAATCAGCCGCCTTTTCGCAAAAAAAAAATTCCCATGTGCAGGCTAGGTAAAGAAATGGCAACGGAGGAAGGGATCGATGACCTGCAGAGCGGAGGGAATCACGGTACGAACGGGAATGGGGAACGAAACAAGGGATCCGCCAGGGATCGAGAGTCAGCCAAATTGGAGGGGACCCGAGAAGACGGAAAGGGCGCCTCGATTGGAGAAAGCTCGGGGGAAACTAAGGGTAGCAAAAGGGGACCTCAGGAAAACAGGGAAGGGGGAAACGATGTGAGAACAAATCCTCGAAACTCAGCAGGAGCCACCCCTAGAAAGACGAAAGTCTTGGATACCAGTCATAAACTGGCAGAAATAGAGAAGCGGACCGCGAAATTTAAGGCAAAACTTATCGAGCAGATGATGGCCGGGGATGAGGAGGACCTCCAGGACGCAGGGTCACGTGAGGGACGCAGGGCCGGTCAGGACGAGGCTAGGTATGAGGGGAAGGATGATAGTCACAAAGGAATGCCTGGCAAGAAGGGGAGGGACAAGAGCGACACCCCGGTGGAAGGAACGGAAAACGCTATGACCCCACCCGCCATTGACAACAGCACTAGCAGACTACCCGCCACGCCGAAAATAACAGGGACGTGTGACGGACTCTGGAGCCTTAGGGAGAGAGTGCCAGGATGGTTCGACCCAGAAGGAACACCGAAAACCAGGGAGAAGCAGAGGGAAAGCAAGGAAGGGGAAGGTGCCAGTGCAGACGGGGAAGCGGGTGGCTCCGAAGACGGGCTCAAGAAGGTAGTCGCCACCCTCAACAGGACACTGAACAAGAACCAGGGGTATCTCGCAGACGCAAAAAAGAAACTCACGTTCGATGGGGCCAACATTACGGAGTTTCTAATAGACTATGAGAACCTAGCAGCCTTACTGAAATGAACGGAAGAGGAAAAGATGGAGCACCTAGGACAACACGTATCGCTAAGTTTGGGACGGGACATTATGGCTATCGTCGCGTCCAGTGGATCCTGGAAAGAGACCAGGAATGAGATGATGAGGAAATACCTGAAGGCAGAAAAAATGGCAACAGAGGCAGAATTGGCCGCAGTCCAGAGGAAAAACTATGCGACCTACAATGATTTCCTGAGGGCGTTCACGCTAGTGGCTCTGCGAATTCCCAGGGTAACGGACCGTATAATGAGTAAATACTTCCTCAAGCAGTTTTCCAAGTTCGATAAAGATAAGATTTTGTCAGCCTACCAGCAGACTAGTAAGTTCGAATACACGAGAGACGTGGACTTTAGCACCGTAACAGACCTTGCGGAAAAGACAGTAGTCACCGAGACGCTAGCCCTGCTTAAGGAAGGGGAGGTCATAGATCTGACTGGGAAGACAGGGGATAAGGTCAAGAAGGGAATAGAGAGCCTACACGAACGGGTGCACGGGGTTGATAGCAAGATGGACATAATGGAAAATGCGTTGTTAGTAATGCAGGCGCAAGTGTCCAGGCCCGCCCTTCCGCCCCAAGAGGCCGTGGTTCCGGCAGCTGTAGCAAACCGGGGGTTTGGCAGGAGGGACCCGGCCAACGAACAACGCAAGTATTGCACCATGATCGGCCATTTCGTACGGGCCTGTCCGAGACTCATTCACGATATCGAGCGGCAGAGGTGCAGTAGGTCCCTCAAAGGCGAGATCTTTGGACCCAGGGGGAAGCGTGTTAATTGGAACTCGCCAGGAGGGATACGGCGAACCGTCATCCTCCTGAATAACTTAGAGATAGCTGCCGTAAAAGCAGAGCCGATAGCCGAGATTGTCTGAGACCAGCCAAGGGGTCGGGGACCACAGGCCAACTTTATCCTAGAAGGCAATGGCCAAGATAGGGTAAATATTACCACTCGCCGGGCCGGGGCAGAAGAGAAGCTCATCCAAGATACAGTAATGGAGGAGCTCGCAGGGACTAGTACGGGCCAGCAAGAGACCGGAGTCGCGAAACAAGAGAAGGTCTATGGGAAGCCAAGGAAGGACGAACCGGTAGACAAGGCTACGGCTGCAAAAAAGAAGTTCAGGTATCAAATTCCGATCCTGACTTCGCCAGAAATCGATGGCACCTTGAGTAAGCTACTGGGTACCATGGTTTCGGTGTCTTTTCAGACCATGCTGCAAGCCAGCCCAAGGCTGCTTAAAGGACTCAGGCAGTTGCTAACGCGTAAGCCGGTAGAGGTAGAGGAGGCCCCGGAACTGCAAGAGCAGGACACGGAGGAGGCCGAGGCGCCGCAAGGAGTTTCCAACCTCCAAAGCATTCCAGGGGGCCTGGGAGAGTTAGAGAAAGCCTTTGCGGACATCCGCCTAAGCCTACCGGATCGTGAAGGTGGCAAAGTCATGAGGGCGCCACCCGCGACAAAGCTTAGCTTTCATGCATTACCAGTTGGGAAACTTAAAGTTCAAATCGGAACTCACCACACTGACGCGTTAGTGGACGGCGGAGCAGAAATCACCCTCATACGACGGGATTTCGCAACGGTCACGGGGTGCACGGTAAACAAGGAAGTAGCAGGGAGTATCCGGGGAGCAAGTGGCGAAATTCCTTTCACAGGGTATGTCACCAAATGTGCAGTCAGGGCGGGAATCCGGGAATCCATCTGGTCCTTTCAGCGGATGACCGTGATGGAAGAAATGGATCACGACGTAGTCCTCGGGAGACCATGGTGCGCCAATGTGGAAATAATAGGAATGCACCTGCACGACGGTACATACATGGTATACATAGAGGACCCAGTGACCGGCCGCGGAGAACTCCTCCGACTCCTCGGAACTGGAGGGGACCCTCCGAAGGGTAAATTGGCAACTTGGTCGCCAACATTCGAAGAAAGTGCACGGAAGGGAGCATTTGCACGAATGGAAGGAATGAGGGAAAGGGTAGAAATTATGATTGAAGAGGCTTTTAGTAAAAAGAAGTGGATCAAGATGGGCTTGCCCGTCAAGAAGAGGAGGCCAGAGGACGAGTCCCTGGAAGTTACGGTGGCAGAAAAAGAGTCGGAAGTCGAACTTGGGGCCAGCCTGCCCAAACCAAAGGAAGCCCGAAACGAAACATCGGAGGTAGTGCTTGAAATCCCAGATTTACTACAACTCGTTAAGGCCATCAGGTACCACAAAGTGGGGGTGGACCTCACAGCGCTTGCCAGATTTGAGGATGGGGTTCGAAAGGGCTACTGTCTGAATGGGAAGCTAGTCAGCATCCAGCCCCGCGTCTTGGAGGTAGCAAGGCCAATCCCGACCGTTCATTTTTTAGGAGAATCATCCCCGAAGGTAGTGTGCGAAAGTATAAACCAGTAGGCAAGAAGGCCAAGCCGGTTTCGATCCTAGTAGAAACGTCAAAGGAAGAGGCCATGGAGAAGAAGGAGGAAATCTTGCAGGTAATAAGGGAGAGGCGAGCAACGAAAGGGCATCGCATACCAGATGAGGTAGCAGACACCATGAAAATAGGAGTGGAAGGGTTTCTAACAGCGGAAGAAACTCAGTTGATAAGAAAAGCATGTCAGGAGTTTCATTTAGCGTTCGCCTTCAACGATCATCAGAAAGGACAATTGGACGCAAAGCTAGTTCCCCCTGTCAGGATCCACACCATACAGCACGAGTGTTGGAATGATGAAGGGCCCACCTATGAGTTTGGGATAGCAGCAGAGGTCACCGACCTGCTTAGAGCCAAAATAGATTCTTTCGTAGCTGAACCCACCGCATCTCCCTACGCGAACAAGTGGTTCGTGTTCAAGAAGCCCAATAGGACGCTCAGGTGGATCTAGGATCTGCAGAAGCTCAACGCGGTAACAATCAGGGACGCAGGATCGCTTCCACATGCCGACTTGTTGGCAGAATCTCATGCGGGGCAGAGTATTTACTCCCTGGTAGACTTGTACTCAGGATATGATCAGTTGCCGCTTGATGCGAGGGATAGACCGTACACCGCAATGCACACCCCGGTAGGACAGCTGCAGATGCAAGTGACCCGTATGGGCTTCACAAATGCGGTAGCAGAAGCCCAGAGGAGGATGCTCGCCGTCGCAGGGGATATGTTTTCGGAAAAGTGTGAACCATATATAGATGATAACCCCGTAAAAGGCGCAAGGTATAAGGACGAGACGGAGGTCGAACCAGGCGTACGAAAATTTGTTTGGGACCACCTGCAGGATGTTAAGGACCTACTCCAGCGCTTCCTCGTTTACAATATTACTGCAAGCGGACCCAAGAGCATCCTGGCAGTCCTGGAAGTAACCATACTGGGATTTCGTTGCGGAGCTTACAGGAGGAGACCCGACCCAGCAAAGACGGATAAAATCTCCCAGTGGCCGACACCCCTGCGTACCACGACGGAAGTACGGACCTTCCTAGGGGTGGTTGGGTTCTGGAGGATCTTCATTAAAGGATTCGCAAAGATATCAGAACCCATCCGCACGATGATTAGGGAAGGTGGCACTATGGATTGGACAGAGGACAGGGAAGAGGCAGCCCAAACCCTGAAAGACATCCTGTCATCCGATCAGGTCACGTTAGCAGCACCCTGTTTTAATGACGAGGTGGGACGGCCCTTCATCTTAGAAACGGACGGGGGACCATTGGCAGTGGGAGGAGTATTGATACAGAGAAGCGAGGAGGGCAAAGAAAGACCAATCAAATTTGAGAGTAGGACCCTGAATTCAGCAGAACGACGGTATTCGCAGTTCAAGAAAGAGGTCTTAGCAATCCTGCATTGTCTTAAGACCTTCCAGGCATACTTGTTCGGGAGGTGATTTATCCTAAGGATCGATCCCACCAACGTTCCTGGAGCCCTAAAGAACTACAAGCCCATAGACCCGACCGTTGGCAGATGGATAGGCTTTATATGGCAATTCGACTATAAGGTCGAGCGAATTGTAGGGCTTCGAAATAAGGCAGATGGGCTGAGCAGGGTTTGCATCACGCCCGAAGGAGTAGAGGACGCGGAACCAATCGACGCTTTCCAGGAGTATGAAGAAGGGACCCTTGTGGTGGATAATGAGATGGCAGATCCAACAATTACAACAGGTCAGTTGCTGATTCAGACCTTGGAAAAAGACGCTCCTCCAGTAGTTGCAGAACTCAGGGAAGGACCGGTCACCACGGTCAGGCGCAAAGAGGAAAAGGACTCATGGGGAGCAGAAGTAGGGGCCAGAGAGGAACTGATGGCAATGACCGTGGAAGGAGGACGGGACGCCGTGATGACGTTGGCCGAAGCCTGGGCATGGAAGGAGTGCCAATACTTAGTCAACCTCACTCGGGAGGAGCAGGGTGCGGATCAGAACGAACAGGAATCCTTCCTCATACAAATGTATGAGGGCGTTTTCAAAGAAATCGGGTTGCTGCTTGTAGGGAACAAACAACCCACGGAAGTCAGTCTCGAGGCAAGGGAGGAAGTAGAAAAGTACGTCCTAAGAAGTGGCCACCTGTTCAAAAGAGAGGAAGGGATGATGCCTAGACGCGTCGTTTGTGGGAGGTCTAGGCAGCTGGACATAATTCAGGCAATGCATGATGGACTAGCTGGGGGTCACCGGTCGTCAAAAGGGACACTTGCAAAGATTGTACCCCTGTATTTCTGGCCAGGAATGGCAGGTATGGTTGCAACGTACTGTCAGACGTGTCTGATATGTCAAGAGAGGAGCTCCGTACGGGTTTACGAGCCCCTTAGGCCCACCCGGGTACTGGGACTCGGACACCTTGTTCACCTCGACCTCGCCGTTATGCCCGTATCGATGGATGGGTTTAGATACATCTTGGATGCAAAGGATAAACTTAGTGGCTATGTAGAAGTCGTAACCCTCAAGAAGAAGACAGGGAAAGCAGTGGCCGACTGGGTGGAAGACTTCTACCTAAGGCACCCCTTCGTGCGCAGGTTTATAGCAGACAATGGGACATAATTCGTTAACCAGGAGGTATTGAACAGGCTTAAGACACTGTGTGTGCCGATCAAGATCACTAAGCCTTATCATCCTAAGGCAAATGCACCGGTAGAAAGGGGTCACCGGACTTTGAAGAACACAATCGCAAAGTTGGCAGCAGATAATTTGGGAAGTTGGCCACAGTTTCTCAAGCAGACAGTCTTCGCCGAGAACATGACTCCAAAAAGAACAACGGGATGTATTCCAGCAGAACTCTGGTATGGAAGGGAGATCGATTTTTCGATAGAAGCTTTGGTCCCTACCTGGAACAGGCTAGATGACGACCCACACCTGAGCACGGAAGAGTTAATCACCGCACGCTGTCAGCAGGTCGCCAAAAATGAGGAGGCACTTGAGGAAGTAGTCAATCGTGTGACGGATAGCCGAATGAGGGATAGAGCAAGATGGGACCAGGTTAAGAACATTCGGAAGGAGCCACTCCAGGTGGGGGAAAAGGTGCTAGTTCGGAACTCGGCTCTTGAAAGCACATGGTCCGGGCAGCTGGGGAAAAGATTCAAAGGGCCTTACAGGATCGCTAAGCGGGTGGGACTGAATACGTTTGAACTTGAGGATCTTGATGGTACTAGCATAAGAGGGTCATTTCCTGGACAGAGACTGGTCAGATTCTTGAGCAGGGATCCGGTGGAACAGTGGCTACAAGAGGCTCAGGACATGGAAACAGGGGAATTGACAGCTTGAAAGGCAGGTAGTTGGCTATAAGTACTGGATCGCCTCCCTGTGGAAGTGATCATGACCACAGGGGTTGTTCTTTTGTGTGTCTTGCTTTTGTAGAATGTGGAGGGACTGCCTGGGCTGTCTGTGACTGGGTTTGGGAGCATGGGACAGTGTATTATAGTTTTTGTGGGGTAACACTGGGATTGTCTACACGAGGTATTTATGTGTTGGGCCAATGTACCATAGTTTTTGAGGGGTGACGCTGTGGACTGCCTATATGGGGCACCTATGTGTTGGGACAATGTGTCGAGGGTTCTAAGGGATAATGGGGTTACCAACTATATGGGGGCAAGCAAGAGTTCTAGGGAAGCCTCCAAAGCCGCAAATGGGAGTGGAAGGGAATGCGTGTGTACGAGGGGTACCATGACTGTTATGCATGAACAGGGCCAGGCGAGGAGAAAACAGCAAGAAAACAGCAAGATGGAGTTTGGGAATGAGAATGACAGCAATGCAATTAACAGGCCAGACGAGGGACAGTCGTCAAGGCAAGCGGGAGAATCAAGCTCCAAGAAAAGGAAGTTATATGTGGGGTTTGACCATAATCTGGTGGTAAACAGAGGGGCCAGGAAACAGGGGACCAGAGGGCCGTCACCACTGAAGGAAGGCGAGCCAATAGAGTTGCCCTCAGACAGTGATCCTAGCAGCCAGGAAAAGGGGAACCTAGAGGAGGGGCAACGGCCGGGAGAGAATGAGCCAGTTGAGTTCATCGATGTCAGGGGAGCAGCCGGGGGAGAAAAAGGACAAATGGATAGAAAATTTCGGATATGAGTTCAGCGATTGGTTCGATCAATGGGGCACTATCTTGATACCAGTGAATCATGAAGGGAAGGGAAAAGCTGGGCAGGGGAGAGAATCTAGCCCCAATGACCTTCTTCACAGAACAGACGTTCCTCCAGTTTCAAGGAATAAAGAGGCGAATGGAGCAGGAAGGGGAGAATCGCGCAAGGAGGGAGGCTCAACGCAGGCCACTTGGACGATAGAGCCAGAGCAGACGTAATGGGGAATAGCTGGGAGTCAGGAAGGGTTGGTGCCTGGGCAGTCGGAGCTGCCGTTTTGAACTTCGCATTTGAACTCCTTTATGAATGAACTTTCTAAGCCTGAAGTAACTAAGGACTCGATAGTCAGTGCTACTTTGTACGAGTGGTTGCTTCTTCAGGGAAAGGCATGAAGTTCTTTTTGCAATTAGAATAGAACTCTGGATGGCAGGGTACATTAAGTGAAGGAAAAAAGGGGGAACAACGGGGATCTAAAAGAGACGAGTCTGTAATGTTGTCTTTGCATTCGAACTCTGTCTCCTGAGTTTTCTTTGTAAGGACCACAATGAAACTACTTTTTGGATTGAGGGAACTAGTAGAGGGTGGGTGACCAGGGCTACTTTGTATAAGTACTCGCTCCGTTTGGGAAATATGAGACTTTTTGGTAGAAAGAAAGGGATTGGGGGGGGGTGATTGACCTTGTCTCGAGAAAATGGACACCGGCATGTGAACTCTCAAACGTTGGAAGAAACATTCAGGGCAAAAGTCTTTTGAGTTGTGTATCCATGATTGAATGAGTCATTGCATGAGCCCTTGTGAGAGGTTAGGGGACCTATGGGTAAAGAGACATCCTCTTCCCTAGGAGCCTAATCCAACGTACCGTAGACAAGTCCAGACCTTTGACAAACTTTCAGAAAAGTGGCAGGAAGACAATGAAATGGTCCAGCAGCCCTTGTAATGGTTGAACGGTCGGGCGGGCTAGTGCTGCTTGGGGCCGCGAGCCTCAACTTGAGTACTAGACGCTAAGTCGGATGTATGGATGATTGTGAGAACGACAAAAGACATGAGGAAAAGGAAGAAGCATGCGTAAAAACCCAAGACGATGGCCGCCTTCTAACCCCCGAGACGAGAAAGGATCCGTGTCCTCGAGGCCCACCCCCTGGGGCACTAACATTGCAATGGACAAGGATGGCCCTAACCAGGCTGTCCAATTGAAATGGATAAGGATGGTCCTAACCAGGCTGTCCGATTGCAATGGATAGGAATGACCCTAACTAGGCTGTTCGACTTGGAATTGGAAAGGACGACCCTAACCAGGTTGTTCGGAATGGCCTCTGACAAGGGTCATTCTTTGGAATTGGCACTGGGGTCCCCTTGCATGGTTGCTTGAGATACATGATCTGGGAAGGGTTGAGCCTTGGAAAAGATATTGACAAGATATTGAGCTGAAAGAGACATTGAGTTGAGCCTTGGACAAGATTGGAAAGAGCTGAGAGTGGAAAAGATATTGGACTCAGCCTTGGAAAAGATACTGCATTGAGCATTGGACTGAGATTGAGCATGGGAATGAGACTGAGCATTGGAGTTGGATTGAGATTGCATTGCATAAACAGGGGATCCTAGACAACCTGAAATGGACTTTGAAAGAACTTTGAATTGGAGTTTCTCCTTTTCTAGTCTTTGGCCTCAGCAAGAGGGGGATACCGGTGCATGCACCGCGACCCCAAGACCTCTATCCGTTTGAGGGAAACAGTCTCAGCGCGACCTATTCCTCTTCGAGGGGGTGAGGGTTAAAGGACTAAGGCACCTACCACTTGGATATGGTGCGGGACGTCCGGAACCACCTCCGACAATGAGCTCTAGTCGGGGAGTTCCAACTGCGCCTCCTGTTGAACGCCTAAATGTCAAAGGGCGAGAGAGCCAAATGGGCAGGAAAGTCATTCTTATCTAGTCTATTTTGCTACTCTCCAACCACACGCCATGTCATAAAGGGGTGGCATGGCCGTTTGGGTCGGACCACGGCTGCCCACGCTAAGTTGGGGGAGGCACTGTCCAAGGGGAGAGGCCGGGCGAGGTACCGGGTGGAGTCCGCCACCACCACGGGGCATTGACACTGCCCTGCCGGAACATTACAACCGTTTCGGGACTAATTGTGAGGTCTTCGTAACTGCACTCGCGGACTGATCGAGAGTCCCAACTCTCTTGAAAGAAAGAGGCCGGAATCCAGAAAATTACCACTCGGGAGGAACGATTCGCGAGGAACGCTCTTACGGCTAGACGAGGCCCTGGCAGGCTTGGATTGGACCTACTTGATAGACATGAGGAGGAACCTTGGTATTGGTGCTCGCCACGTAAGAGAAGAAAGGTCGGACCGGGTAGAAGGATGAGGCGTCGTCCGCTGGGGAAAAACTGATCACTCTTCCTTTTGTGAAGCGGATGGGCTTGTGTCCTTGACTTGCGGTCTGCGGGCCAAAGGTCTGCGTACCTCCGAGTGAGAACCAGTCGCGCGATGGGGATATCGCGTTTTGAGTGGCTGGAAGGTGTGCCGCCTACCAATGAATACGCACGAAAATAAGACTTGTAATTGGTATTGGGAAAAAGGGGCCTGTCAAGATGGCGGGAACAGAAAAAGATTGTAATTGACTTTGTATGGGCCTGAGAAAAGGGGGCCTGGCAAGACGCCAGAGCAGAAAAGACTTGAGTAAGTGACATGGTATAAACTTGAGAAAATGGTTTGGCAAGATAGCCAGGAAGGAAAGGGCTAGTGTGATTGATTCTGCATAGACCCAGGAAGGGAATTGGCAGACTGAGAATTGGCTGTGTAATTGGTTTGTATAAGCTCGAAAAGATGAGAAGTGGCTGAGGGGTGAGCCAAGCAATGCACATGGAGAGTCAATTAAGTAAAGGGCAAGAAAAGGCAGAGGATGATATGCATGCGGAATTGGCAGAACTTGAGAAAGGCCGGGAGGAATGACCCGGGAAGGATGCATGTGGATTTGGCTATGTCTGATCTTCGAGGAGAGGAAAAATTGTATTGAAAATGAATGGATGTCCTAAGAGTACTGAATGAGACAAAGCCAAAATGATTTTTGCTCGAGAATGTTTTCTCAATGAAATGGGAAGATAGATTTGAGATTACGAATGCAGCCTTCAAGACATTGTCGAGAGCGAGAAATAACGTACAATGAAAAACTAGCTGCAGGGCATGTCTGTGGTCAGACTCCTCCAAGGGGCGAAGCTAGTCAACCTCATAAGGAAAAGAGACATCAAGCTGCTTAAGCTCCTTGATGTGTTGCTAGCTCGCACCTGGAGGAAGCCATGGCGAATGATCCTTGTGACATTCGCCACCAAAATCTTCCTCTTACCACGGTCCCTGGGGAGGGTGATGGGCTTGTCGTCCTCTCTTTTGTGGGACGACACCGGAGGTTGGTGGAAAGCTCTTGGGTATTCGGGAGTTCCAGTGAGAAAGAGATATAGCTGTGAGATGGACGTTGATGCACAAAGAATGTCACCCGCTCGTTACAAAGACATTATTGACCCCTCCAATACCCTCCCCCGCCCCAAGGGGCGGAAACTCAAAGAAAGACCCAAGGAAAGAATGGGGAAAACAAAGAGAACCCTGGCAAGCTAACTACCCATCCCACCCCACTCCTCTCCCCTGGCTGTCTATCCCTCCAAAAATTCCTACTGACTATGGATTGGTGCGCGATGAGGACATCGTGAATGAGTGGGGGGAATATGTCGGGACTGGTGAGTCCCAAATGATTTCCCGTTACTCAAGAGACAACGTATGACCAATTTGTGCACGGTAGAGAAAACCGGAGGCAGGAATGCTGGAAAAATCGGAGGCATGGGCACAGACAGTAGGAAGCTAGAGGCTGCCCGGAGTCGCAGGACCGCCAAACTAGAAAAGGAATTGTCTAAGTAGGAAGCAGCAAGGGACTGTGAGAGAATAGCAAGGGCGACACTCTCCCCAAGGACGGAGGAGGGCCGCCGGGAAGTTGGTGACAACGTAAGAGGTGCGCAGCGAGGGAAGGGAGAAAGTAGGAAGGAACAGGGCGCAAGGCGCTGACGTGACGTGACGGCAGGACGGCCAAGGAGACCGTGGGACAGGCGGGAACTAGCACCCGGAGCGGAACAGCGTGTGGGACGCAAGGGGGAACGGGGAGCGGAGATCACCGTAAGGCGGAGGGACGTCAGGAGCACCAAGGGAAGACATGGCACAGGCAGGACGAAGTGCCGGGACCACAAGGAACTAAGAAGAAGTGTGGTGCCGACGGGACTAGGTGTCGGGGACCACGCAAGACCAAGGGATGACGTGGTATCGACAGGGCGAAGTACCAGAAACCGTGTAAGACCAAGGGATAGACGAAGCGCGGGCAGGCCGAAGTGCCAGGGAACCACGTGGGCCTAGACGGGATGGCGGCGCCAGCGGAACCACTAGTAGGGTGGGTATGGATGGGATAAAACGTCAGGAGTCGCGGACGGAGGACGAAGGTCGGAGCCGTCAGCGGGATAGATGGCAACCGGCCGATAGAGTGATGCGCGCAAGCGGGTCGTCACCCGGGGTGATGCCGGACGGAGGGAAGGGACTAGGAGCAATAAGAAGAGGAGGAGAAGTCGGGCGCTGATAGAAATTGTCAACAGAACGCGGGAGACGGGCATGCGACGAGAAAGACGGAGGACACCTGGGGCGACCCAGGGGGATCCTGGACCAAGAACAACAACGATAAAAACAAAACAACATAATGACAGGTGGGGGGGACCATCCGGGCCTGGGGTCCGGATGAAAATGACAAGTACCGCCGCGGCAAGCGCCGACAGGAGGAGAGGAGGGGACAGTAGTAATGACGGGGGCCGGCCGGCAGTCCAGGTTATTCCGTACCAGCCAAACCAAGAGAAACGAAGTTCCAAGGGCTCCACATGGAGAAAAGGCTGGCCGAAGAAAATCGGAGCAAGGGGATCTCGAAACTGGAGGCAGCGGCAGCAAAAAGGAGCCCCCTTTGGCCTTGAGGGTGCCATTATTGCAGTCCGGGGTGTAACGGCCATATGCCAGCTGCAAAATTAGACCTTGGGAAAGGCCCAACAGCCAGAAAGAGAAGAAATAGCTGTTGGACACTTGCCCCAACAGTAATGAGAGAAAAAAGGGAGAGAAAAGGGGGAGAGTGAGACAAAGGAGGAGGAAGGAGTGGAGGAAAAAGTGCCGCCAGGTTGGGACTGCAGCAGTAGGGATGGGCAGATCCCAATGATGACCTCATCCCTCCTAGATCCTTGGAGTGCAGTCCGGATTGCAGAGATAAGGCCCTTGGGGCATTATCTCTGCAATATCTGAATTAAAACAACAAAAATAAGGAAAAATGCTGATTTGAGTTGGCCGGCTCATTTTTGGGCCTTAGATCTGAGATCTGATCTCGCGGAGGAGGAAATCTAGCCGTTTTTGTGGGCTGACACGAAACGGCTAGCTCCGGATTCTTCCTCTTCTCTCCATCCTTCCTCTTCTCCCTCCTTCTCCTTCTCCTTCTCCTTCTTCTTCTTCTTCTTCTTCTTTTTTTCCTAGCTTCGTATGCATCCGGACTTGTGCTTTTTCGTGAGATTAGGGGTTGGGAGGGCTGCGATTCATCCTAGGATAGTTCCGTGAACTTTCCCCTTGAGTAGATGCTTCCAACTTTGAGTTTTCACTGTTGTGAGTGCTTGTACATGTTGCGATTCATCTTGTGACATTTCTGTGAAGTTTCCCCTTGATTAGATGCTTCCAACTTTGAGTTTTCACTGTTGTGAGTGCTTGTACATGTTGCGATTCATCTTCTGAAACTTCCGTGAAGTTTCCCCTTGAGTAGATGCTTCCAACTTTGAGTTTTCACTTTTGTGAGTGCTTGTACATGTTGCGATATATCTTGTGACACTTCCGTGAAGTTTCCCTTTGAGTGGATGCTTCAAACTTTGAGTTTTCACTGTTGTGAGTTCTTGTACATGTTGCGATTCATCTTGTGACACTTCCGTGAAGTTTCCCCTTGATTAGATGGTTCAAACTTTAATTTTCACTGTTGTGAGTGCTTGTACATGTTGCAATTCATCTTGTGACACTTCCGTGAAGTTTCCCCTTGATTAGATGGTTCGAACTTTGAGTTTTCACTGTTGTGAGTGCTTGTACATGTTGCGATTC